TTCTATGTTGTAGCTCATGAAATTTATTGGAACTCAATGATTTCTGACTAAATGACAATAAATTCTAAATTTAAGTTGGAGTAGATGTACATGTGGGTCAGATAAAACAATCACCCATTAACCCTTTGTGATCAACTCCCCACTTTGTGACCTGCTCTCTCCACGGGTATGAACCATCTACATAGTGAAACTCAGTGATTCTTTTCACAGTTCTCAGCCTCCTTGTTTGATCTGTCTCCTTTTCTATCTCTGAATTTCTCCTTTGGAATCTGATCATGCACCTTGTCTTAAAGCTGTTGATTACTTTTTTGCTCAGTTATTGAAGAAGAGCCATGTTCCTAACCTTCCCACCACAGTCACTTTCATATGCAGTGTTTGAACTAGTGAGTAACTTTACTCTTTACATGAATAAAGTAGTTCTACAATGAGTTATGCTGCTTTGTCACTGTCATTCATACTCATCACAAATTTCCAAAGAGCATCTTTTGTAAGCATGAGCTAGTACGTTTAATTACTGTCGTTATGACAGAGACCATTCTTATGGCCATAATTCATATGCAAGTTTGGAAGAGCATTACTGGACACAGCGATTTTGAGCCATCTGGAATTATAGAGTTGAATTACCAGGAACCAGTAGAATTGCAATCTTACACTTATCTTCTGAGTGACTTTAGGCAAGTCATTAATTTACCCTATTATTTGTAGTGAGCAAACAAAGCCCAAGGAGATATTTGCCTGAGAGGTTTATTACAAGAATCAAATGAAGAAATATTTGTAAAAATGCTCTGTGTTATGTGAAATATTATAAAAGTCAGTTTGATGATAATACTGAATGGGGTCCTGTAAGTTGGAGAACATCTAGTGGAGAAAATGCAGAAACATCAGGTGGTACAAGATATATTTTAGCATAAATCAAAATATGTATTATTTTTATTAAGTGTAATCTAACATTTGTGGGGAAGTCATATTGTTAGTTCCAAACAACAGTGCCGAAAGAATTTTCTGCAGATATGTACCTGGTTATTACATAAAAAAGCGTTCCTTTGTGTTTATGTAAATTTGGAAAACACTGAGTTAAAGTTTATCAAGATTCTGTACTTATGAATCCTTAGATCTTACAATGTTTCAGTTTAAATGAGAGCATTCAAAAATGGGGATCTGGAAGGTGTGTGTGTGTGTGTATGTAGACTATACCTTGCCATATTTCCTAAACAGATATAAATACAAAATGTGCCCTCCATCTTTCCACACGACATCTTGGGTCCATAATTCCATACAGCACATTTTAGAAAGTGCTGCTCTGGAGGGTAACTCAAACTTTTTTTGTGACTCATCTATTTTGCTGAAGATAGTCCTTTAGGAACAGTAGGTAACCTGACAAAGATACTGTGTATTCTTGAGATCTGCCCAGGAGCTCATTCAAGCTTCAGTTTGATTTGGCAGAGAAAGTCATCACCATTGCACTCATTACCTTTAAACGAATGGACAGCTAAAAAGGAGACCTAGACGGTGGATCTAGGATGTCATGAGACTGGTTAGAAAAACTTAACCAGCTTCCCAGTGGTCACTCCAAAGCAACCATAGAAATGAGCCCTGCTAACTATCCATGCATCACTTCTCAATACTTTGATCTTTTCCAACT